AGGCGAGTGCGGTGGGTGTAGGTTAGTGCTCCAGGCACTGGTTCGCCAGGCTCTGTGCGATGGATTCGCAAGTGACCGACCAGGCCGATGTGTGAGGTGAAAGTACGGTCGCAGTGAGGGCAGGTGTAGTCCTGATCCTCATCCCTGGAGTCGGGGAAGGTGGTGGTAGTGTCGGTTTCTGCGCGTGGGACAGTCGCCTGAGCGGCCGCCGTTGGAGCAGTGGGCGAGGAGGAGGAGGATGAGGAGGAGGAGGATGATGGAAGTGGTGGGTTAGTTGGCGGCGGAGAGGAGGAGGGAGAGGCAGGCGGGGGGATGATGGTTGGTGTTGTTCGAGAGGCGCAGTTAATCCGAAGATGTCCAACAAGTCCGATTCGAGCGCGGAATGTCCGTTGACATCGAGGACACGTTGGAAGCGGTTGTGCGGCGGCGTTGCTTACTGGGCGGAGTTGTGATTTGCGGGCTTCACGTTTCGCTTTGGCGGCAGCGATGCGGTTGGCTTCGTAGATCGCAGCGCCTGTCTTCACTGTCCTCCTCCAGGTCGGTCGATCGAGTGCGAGCTCCTCCCAGTTAGTGGGGTTGATTTGCAGGCATTTCAGGGAGGACTTCAGGGTATCCTTGTATCGACGAATTGGGCCTCCTTGACGGCGAGAACCCGTCGCGACGTCTCCGTAGAAGAGTCGTTTGGGTAGTCGCTCGTCGTCCATGCGCACCAGGTGGCCGCTCCAGCGCAGCTGAATTTGCCTCAGTATGGCGTAGATGCTGAGGATTCCCGTCGGTTCCAGCACATCAGTGTCGGGGATTCGATCCTGCCACTTCAGCCTCAGGATGCGACGAAGACAACTGAGGTGGAAGTGGTTCAGGCGACGTGCCTGCTTTGCGTACACCGTCCAAGTCTCCGCTCCATACAGTAGCGTCGGCAGGATGACGGCCTTGTACATCTTCAGCTTCGTGCTCAGTTGGAGACCATGACGATTCCAAACTGTGCTTTGGAGGCGACCGAAGGCTTGACTGGCTTTCGAGATCCTGTTGGCGACTTCGTCGTCGATCTTGGTGTTGCGGGAGAGAGTACTGCCTAGGTACGGGAAGTTCTCCACCACTTGCAGTTGATTTCCGTTCACGCTGATTTGCGGCGGCGCGTTGGGGCCTGTGGCCGAGTTGGGTGGCGGTTGGTGCATCACCACCGTCTTCTGCGTGTTAATGACCAGACCGAAGTTCTCGCAGGCGGCGGAGAACAGGTCCATGCTCCGTTGCATCTCCTCTTCCGAGGTGGTGTTCAGGGCGCAGTCGTCGGCGAAGAGGAGTTCGTGCACGGTGGTTGTGGATACACGCGAATGGAAGTTCATGCGCCGGTGATTCAGGAGATGACCGTCCGTTCTATAGGCGATGCGGATTCCAGGGCGTTCGTCGCGGTAGGCGTCCATCAGCATGGCAGAGAACATAAGACTGAAGAGGGTAGGCGCCAGTACGCAGCCCTGCTTCA